ATATTAATATTATATTTTATATATATATATGAATTACAAAAATTAATATTAATATTTATTATAAATTAATAGATATTGTTTATATGTATTGTTTAATCTTACATTATTCACGCGCGCGCGAGGGGTTTTTGATTACAATATTACATTATATTCAATATTACATCTCAATTTTTATTACTTTTTTGTACGACGATTTACAATTAGATAAAAGTTAATAATATTCAATATATTCTTTAGATAAAGATAAATGTAAAATCTTTTTTCCATTTTAAAACAATTCGCGCTAAATATGTGTATAATAATGTGTATAAATAGCATTTATATATTTAACGAATTTATATTTTATAAAACTGGGATAATATTTTAGACATCCATTTTCAGAAATAAATTGCATAATCTTTATCAATATATTACGTATAATATTAAATTTATTTTTAAAACTACGTGTCCTTTTTCGAGCTATTATTCTCGCTTAAGTAAATATAGTCATTATATATACGCCAGACATAAATGTTGTCGTAGCAGCGTTAAGATTTTCTAAAACTCTTCGATCAACTTGGAAAAAGAGGAGAGATAATACCGGAGGCTAATTCGATAGACGCCACAGGAGCTAAATCCACGTGAACCTTGCTCGTGACGAAATTCGTAACGAAGTTATTTGCGCGAACGCCAATCAGCTCTGTTACTCTTTCCACTGTAAGCGATGTGACCTCGAGGATCTCGTTTGAGTGCAGCCCGCCGCAGCCACGGATTAATTCTACGAGATCGGTAATTGAGTTTCCTACGAGAATCGAGGAGAACTCGAGGGGGAAAAAAGGGAATTTCCCTATCGGCAAAATTGCTAAAGCGTCGTCCTTTCGATGAAAAACATGCCGTAAAATTCACGAGATTTATTCTGCACAAGATAACATATTATACGAAACGTTTGATAACAAATAACTCGATAATCGGTATTATTCGTATAATAAAAACAGTCTCGGATAAAGTAATATTTCTTGCAATAATAGTTCTTCGAGTCAACAATTAAATTAAATTTGTCAGATTATTATTATTTCAGTTTGATTGTATTGCAAATCTGAAAGTAATTGGCGCACAATCATATCTGAAGAGAAAGAGTAAATGTATTTTAATTACATATATAAAATTGTTAATTTTCTAATTTTGACTTAGTTGACATTTGACTTCTTTTTATTAGCTTATTGTTTAGTAGGATTATATGATTTTCACCGTATCCAAATTTAATTGAATACTATTTTTCTTTGTAATTTAATATTGGAAAAATAAAAAATAAAAATAATATAACAAATGTATAATTACAAAAATTATACATGACATTGTAGCATGAAGAGATTTGAAATATTTTAAAATTAATATTTAAATTAAAATTTTATTAAGATAAAGTCATTTGAGAAATAAAATTTTCTTTTCTGCTAACATTTTTGAAATCTGTTAAAATAGCTTATTAAAAATTATTAAAATAATATATTTGATTAACTTCATATTATAAATTATACGACTGCTGGACGTAATAGCGGCGCAAGCTTGCACATTTCGAGCGTTGAACCGCTGTGCCGGGAAAATGTAATTCCGCTGATAAAACGTGAAAGCATGGAAGCCGATGCAACGGTAAATATGGGAGAAAAAGGGGTGATGAAACATTTCCCTCAGGAGAGTGTAATCTCGGAAGCTCATCGGCTGGTGCTTTGCAATAATAAAAGCCCTGCAATTCTTGCGTTACGCTTAAGCGTGCTACGCTTTTGTTATTACTCTTTTCTTTTTTCTTTGCATGTCGCGGTGTACGCGAACACAATAGCAGTTGAGAACTTCCCCTCTTATAGAATATCGAGTCTTTTTATTTCTGTAATAAAAAAATTATAAAAATTAAGAGATTGAAAGATAAAAAAATGTTTAAATACATATACAAATTTTATTTTTAAATATATTATTTTTGAAAAATATCTTAATATATTATATTAAAAATATACATGTATAATATAATATTTGCAAAAAATGATGAGGTATTCCTTTCATTCAAAAGAAAACTACATTTCTTTACTTTTGTTTCGCAAAATAATCTCAATCACATTTTTAAAATAAAATCTGTAATATGTGCAAAGGAAAGTTAGAAATATATTATAACTTATTATAATAAGAGAGAAACATCGGACACGCCCTGAAACATGAAACGGAACAGCCTCGACTACGATATCGCCGTAAAGCTTACGAGGTTGACAGCAATTCGCAATTCACCATCGACGTTCAGTTTTACGTTACCGAAGTAGAACAACCGGGACTTCTACTTACGATCGAAAGTTCTTGATCGGCGAAACTTATTGCGCATTCAAGAGAACGAGAGGAGTTGCGCATGCAAGATGCGCTTCCTCAATGTGCTCTGTCCACGGAAACGCCGAAGATACGACGGGAATCTGGGTCAGTTCTTATCGGACAGGCAGCAAGAATCCACCCACCGAATAACACGATGCCACAACCTCGATTCCGAATCAACCCTTCCCTCCTTTCCAATAAATCATTTCAACCCCATTTGATTTGCCGATCGAGCGCGCTTGCGCTCGAAGAAATCCGAAATGATTTGTTTCAATACTATCGGAATGCTTGGCTGCGAAGGCGAGATTGCATATAAATATAAATGATGTAACTATATAAAATTCTAAAACGATACGCTGATTAATTCTTATTGTATGTCATGAATATCGCGCGTTGTATATAAGAAGTTATTTTCCTTTCACTAATTATACGAAAAATCATATTGTGTCTTTACCTTTGTTTAAAAATCAGACTTTATGAGAATAATTATAACATAAAATCTTTCTGTATTTCTTTCAAAAAGTAGACATCGTTTAAAACTTTTGATTAATTAAATTGTTCAGAGCCGTCACTTTGGAAACTTTGGAATTATTCCAAGATGGACAATATCCGATGTAAAAGCTTTTTCATCAAGTACGAGAAAATAGTACAAGATTAAGGAAACGGAACTGAGCTTTAATTCAAAATTTCAAAGTTCAGACATACAGATAGTCCAATGGAAATCCTTTTCCCGAAAGAACAGCACTTTGCACTAATTGCCCGCTGTGCGAACCCAAGTTCCTTCTTGCGAGTGCACACTCGTTGTGCATGAGAAGGTAGCCGTTACCTAGAACCAGGAAATGTGCTAATTATGCTATAACTCACTCTTGATTATAGCTTGCCTTCTATGCGACAAAGTTGAGATTACCCCTCATGATTTATGAGCGTTTTCAAGTCAAGATGAAAGCTACAAACAAACATCAATTGTTTAAACGAGACAAATAGGAAAAATCAAAATTAACAAATATAATTTAAAAATAAGTTTATCTTTTTAATTTTCCAATCAAGAGAAGGTCTTGAATGTTTAATGAATTATTTCCATATATCTGTAGTCATTTATAGTTATAAAATTGTAAAGAGAATTCATAAAGAATTAATTCAAGGTATTGTATTAAAAATGAAGATATAGATCTGAGAAGGATAAAATTATAATTGTATGTGATTCTGAAATGTTTAGGTATGGAAGACTGAATAAGTCGGTCATTAAAATAATCAGTATTAAAATGATTTGTACTCATATTAACTTAAATTATATATGTAATAATTTCTTCTTTGTAATATTTCTTTCACAAAATTTTAAATCTTCGAAAACCCAAATTAGGCTATAATATAAAAAAATATCAGGAATAAATACAAATTGAAAAGATGCAGTAATTTTTTTACCATAAGGTTATGATCACATATGTACATATATACAAGTAAAATAAAATTAAGTATGAATATAAAACAACTTTTATATTTATACCATATAAAAGAACTTTTTTGAATGAATACATAGTTTGATAAAAGCTGTGAAACGAGTTTTCAAGAATAAGTACAAAGTTAAGAAAGAATTCTTAAGTTTATACCTTATTTTATATTTAAATGACACAGAAATCAGAACTGTATTTCTGTACACGTGATTAATAGCGGATTAATCAAAATTCCCCCATGTAAAATAAAGAATAAAACGATAGATTGAATTGAAAGAGTAGAACGGCCATCGAACTGCACCGTCTGCTCGTCGTGAATTAAAGCTGCTCGCGAGTACGCTATCGCGTGTTCTTTGTTATTATGAATCGAATAGTAGTACTATCGTAGTGGCGCGTAGTAGCAGAGGGGATGAAAGCGCGGGGGAGGATGCTGGAAGGTTGAGAGCGCTCGTATGCAACGTAAGGGTGCACTAGAACTAATAGGATGGGGTGGTAGTGGTGGTGAAGAATAGTCCGGAGAGAGAGGGTATACACCCTCGGTCGATACTGGGCGTCGCGGCGCTAACTGTGAAAGGCGTATTACGGGGGTGCGCGAGAGAAAGCAAGAGAGAGAGAAGAAGAGGGAGCATGAGAGACAGTGACGAATTCAGAATTCTGAAGACCCTAAGGTATCCAAGTAATTTAAATAATTTAAATAATTTACGAAATATAATTTTTGTTGAGTAACAAAAAATATTATAAATAATTTAGGAAATAAACGAAGATCTGAGTTTACTTTTGTTAATTTTAAATAAATAAAGTTATGAAAATTTACAAATTTTTAGATACGTTTCAAAAATTAAAATTTACTTCGC